ACCAGACTAAAATCGACTAAGCTAGACCAGATTAAATTCTATTATGTAAACTAGATAGACTAGAGTAAACAATGCGCTAAAGTAGACTAAAGTAGATTAAATTGGACCAAACTAGACTAAACTAGACCAAACTAGATTAGATTAGATTAAAATGGACTAAACTAGACTAAACCAGATTAAACTATATAGAGTAAGCAAAACCACCTGCATCTAAATCTACACCTGGACTAAGCTCAACTAAGCTGAATTAAATAAAACAAAACTAACCCAAACTAGAATCAACTAGGCTAAACTACACTAAAGCAGACTAACGTAGACTAAACAGACTAAACTAGACTCAAGTAGGCTAAAGACTAAAGTAGCCTAAAGTAGACTGAAGTAGACTAGAGCGTGCTAAACTAGCCTAAAGTAGCCTAAAGTAGACTAAACTATGCTCAACTGGACTAACCTAACTTCGGCTAAACTAGACTAAACGAAATTAGACTAGACCAGACTGAACTGGGCAAAGCTGGACTAAACTAGGCTAAGCTTGGCTAGACCAGACTAAACAGAATTTACCCACGCCAACTTGAACTAAATAAGACTAAGCAACACTAAACTAGACTGAATTAGACAAGGTATATTAAAAAAGGCTAAATAAAGTAGACTAAACCAGACCATCCTAGATTAAATTGAACTAAACTATATGAGAGTAAAGTAGGCCAAATTAGACTCAACTAGTTTAGTTAAGTTTAGTCCACTTTAGTCTTGAGTCTACTTTCGTGTAGTTGAGTCTAGTTTGTTACTACATTTGCAACCTCATTCCAACCCACCAGGACCAGTCGAAGTCCTCAATCCAGAGGTTCTTGATGGCCAGGGTCACTTCTTTGTTTCCCTGCAGCAACTTAATGAGGAGGTCGAAGTCCTCCTGACCAGGCGGGGGTGCACCGCCCTCCGGTGGTGGCAGCACAGGGCGCTCCTCCTCGTTCATTCGATCGAACTTTTGAGCTCTGATCCTGTCCACCTTCTTGATTGCAGCATCGCGCCGCGCCATCGATTGCAGTTTCGTAGCCGCTCGGTATTGCTCGAGTTGTTCATTGTACAGCTCAAGCTTCCTAGCAGCTTCATCTCGGCCTTGTCCACCGCGGAAAACGCGCTGAATATAGATGGCGGAATCTTCTCGTGCCTGTTCGGCCGCCTTGGCCTGACGCTTCGCCTGTGTCTTGCGGTTCGCCTGGTATGTTCGGGCAGCACACTGGATGGTCAGGGCCAGCTGATTCATCACCACTCTACGCTTGGCCACACGCCTTCTGGCCAGTCCTCCACGAATCAAGGCCTGCGCCTTCACCGCTGCGGCGTGCATGCGGCGGACGCGGTTGCGCGCCAAGACTCCCCGTGCACGACGCTGGATCACAATCTGGAACATGTCACCATGGCCCTGTTGCGCAGGGATGGATGTGGCATCACACGGCCTTGGCACCGGATAAAACTTGAAGTCCCTCCGAGGGGAGAGCAAGCTCGCCAAGCCTTCCATAGGTGGTGGCACCCAGCTGCGCTGGGCTTGGGCCGTGCCTTGCATGGGTATCATGGGTGGTGTCACCCAGCTGTGCTGGGCTTGGGCCGTGCCTTGCATGGGTATCATGGGTGGTGTCACCCAGCTGCGCTAGTGACTTGGCCCGGTATGCCTGCCCAGGAACACAGGATCATGACGGTCGTTTGTACACCCACTGCGCTGGGGCTAATGCGTGCAGTCACCTTGACAATGGGTATCATTCGGAGGACGGTCGGTGTCACCCAGCTGTGCTGGGCTTGGGCCGTGCCTTGCATGGGTATCATGGGTGGTGTCACCCAGCTGCGCTGGGCTTGGGCCGTACCTTGCATGGGTATCATGGGTGGTGTCACCCAGCTGCGCTGGGCTTGGGCCGTACCTTGCATGGGTATCATGGGTGGTGTCACCCAGCTGCGCTGGGCTTGGGCCCTACCTTGCATGGGTATCATGGGTGGTGTCACCCAGCTGCGCTGGGCTTGGGCCGTACCTTGCATGCGTATCATGGGTGGTGTCACCCAGCTGCGCTGGGCTTGCGCCGTACCTTGCATGGGTATCATGGGTGGTGTCACCCAGCTGCGCTGGGCTTCGGCAGTGCCTTGCATGGGTATCATGGGTGGTGTCACCCAGCTGCGCTGGGCTTGGGCCGTACCTTGCATGGGTATCATGGGTGGTGTCACCCAGCTGCGCTGGGCTTGGGCCGTACCTTGCATGTGGTTTGGCCCAGGTGCGTTGGGCTTGGGCTGTGCCTCGGCGCCCAATGCGAACTTGTGTCCTTTGCAGGGCTGCCCGCGCATCTCTAGCAGGGTCGTCGTCATGATGAGTATAGATTGAGTAGTGAAGAAGCACAGTTTAATCCAATGTGGTCCAGTTTATATAATCTAATTGAATCAAGTTTGACTGAGTTTAATGTACTTTAGTTCTCTTTACTCCACTTTGGCCAAATTTTGTGCAATCTACTATGTTTTAATCTAGTTTCGTCATGATGTGTAGTCTAATTTCATTTAGTCAAGTTTTGTCTAGTTGAGCCTAATTTAGCCTAGTTTAGCTTAGCTTAATCTAGTTTACCCTAATTTAGTGTCACGTAGTGTTTGATTTTCATAAGCATCAACATTTAGATATAACATTAATTATATAGCTAGTCTAGTTTAACCAAAAACAAGCTCAGTCCAGCTTAATCCAGTTTCCTCAGTTTCAGTCTAGTTTAGCCAATCTTTGTCTACGTTGGTCTACTTTAGTCTACTTTAGTCTAGTTTAGCCTACGGTAGTCTACTTTAGCCTATTTTAGTGTAGTTTAGCCCGCTTTAGCCTACTTCAATCTACTTTAGGCTACTTTAGTCTACTGTAGTCTACTTTAGTGTAATTTAGCTTGGTTTGGTCTAGTTGAGTCTAGTAGAGTCTAGTTTAATCATGTTTAATCCAGTTTAGTTTAGTTTAGTCCAGTAGTCTGGTTTTAGTCTAGTTTAGTCTACTTTAGTGGACACAAAAGAAATGAACAAGTTAAACGACCAAAGGAGAAGAAAAACAATAGCATTACATGCTTGTATGCATAGGAACGAAATAGACCCCAAAGGTCCCTGCCACATATATATATACAGTATATATATATATGTTATATATACATACATTTACATAACTATATGTGAAGGACAGATAGATGTAGCATCTGTATATATATACACGCTTCTATATACACTTCTATATATATATATATATATATATTAGGTGTGTGTATTCAAGTGATTCATCCCCTTGACCACCATGCTCCCTTCACCAAGCTGCGTCGGTTCCGGCTGCCCCAAGACGTCCCGGCAGAACCACAGCGTCGACAGCAGCGGTTCGTTTCGATGCAACGGCCCAGTTTCATGAAAACCTGAGTCATTGTCATCCCACTAGTAATTCTGAAGATGAAAAACTAGCCAAAAATGGGGAGATCACCATGAAACACAGGGATTTAGTGGAAGCAATGATGATTAGTAAGTGGTTGGTGTCTAGTAAGTGGGTTATAATCCAGTTCTGGGGCGAGCCAATGGACTTCACCGTCACCAAACAGTTGCCACCCGGGATGATCCAAGCAAACCACCAGCAGCAAAAAACATTGGAATTGGGCATGGCATAGCTACCAATGGGATGATTTATACAATATTATATATAATATAAGAGCCGTAACAGCCCCCTTTTGTGTTTGACCATTGGATACCATTGGCAATGGTTGACTTCAAAAAGGGCCCGCATTTCTTGGCCGAGGTGGTCAAGGCCGAAGTGTTCTAGATTCAAAGTCTCAGCAACACCCGCAAGCGGCAGGGTGTACTCATTGGAGACATGCTTCAGACAAGTCTCCTTCAAAATTCAGCAAGCGAAAGAGAAGAGTTCAAGAGGATCGACATTGACGCTGAAGCATAGATGCCACTATCCTTCACACAAACCCACCATGTCCTATTTTGAAACTTATGTGAAATATTCTCAAACCAGGATAACTCTGATGAGATTTTGTCTTAGGGAGGTCTATCTCCATCTTTCTGTTCTTGGTACCTCCAGCGTCTGAGCTGATGCATGCTGATGCACCTGGGACATAGAGACAGTGATACGTAATGGTACATACTGATACTGTCATAATGATATTACATACTTGCAGTATTACTGTCACAATGATACATCATAATGATATCATAATATGATAATCACCAAATAGTACTGATACTGGGGGCTCAAGCAATCCCCCCAATATTTGGTGATTATCATCCCATGGATGGCAGCCAGACCACTCTTCCAGTCACTCCTCTGGGTTCCTCGTTGGAGCACAGAAGCCGCCACAGACGGGGATGTTGAAAATGCCTGAAATTCTCTGCAAACGGCACTGGAAATGGCCAGATTTTCAACGCAGGATCCAACCCTTTCTGGGATTCAACAGAGAGGTGTCGAAGACATGACTTTTGATCAGCCAATTTGTTGGAGTGCGGGGTCATCTCTGACCCTTGTCCATGTCAGTAGCGTAAAAATGCTGCCTAAGGCAGTTTCACCATCTTTGGATTTTTAGTGGCAGTTAGAGCCAATGCCTTGGACTTGTCAATCTGTCCAGTACATTCCGCATCCCGCTTTTGTTGAGCAATCTGCGCGTTTTCCCAGATCCACTAGCAGCAGATGAATCTGGACAAACAGCTTTCTTTGTCCAAGTCTCATCTGCAAATACCAAAAACGGTCTCCATGGCCACCAAAGGTTGTCTAAGCATGCAATTTGAGTCTGCATGTTGACATGCATTTGCATGCAGTTGCAATGTGTTGCAGTTCCAACAAAATTCGGCTTGAAGGCAACCAATCTATGCCCTTCCTTTCCCTTTTGGCATCACGGTGCTAAGCACTTGAGCCACATGAGTTGCAAATCTCGCGTCCTGCATGGCCGTTTCACTGCACACTCCCCAAAACTGTGATGACATGATGCAGAAACACAACAAGCATCTTCAAGCTGTTTCACCCACCTCCTCTGAGCTATTCAATTGCTCTTCCAATTTAACGACCTGGCAGATGAAACCACAAAAGCCCACCAAGACACATACTGTTGGGCACTCTCCTCCATTCTGGCTAAGAATTGCTCGATCGAACATTCACCAAGAACACCCGGTCAACATGTGCCGGCCTCTGCTTTCATCATCTCCGTCTTCTCTAGAAGCTCATTGTGTTGAGCTCGGCTTTCCTGCAGATCCACGATCAGAAGGAAAAAGCACCAGCAGCTGAAGATTCACCCGGAATGCAGTAAGTGGAGGGGCAATCTGCATACTCGGACTTGTTGTGCGTCTGGTGTGAGTCTGGTGGCAGTGCCACAATACAAATCAATCACCCACAGGACCCACAAGCGCAATTGGATCTGTCACCCAAGGAAGTCACCCGGCTTCCCTTGAACCTCTCCCCATGGCCAATCTTGAATGACATTGGATCCCTGCAAAATATTGGATTGTTCCAGCCCCATGAATAAAATCTCAGAAAACGGTGATCTATATGTCGCCCAAACTAGAAACTCCAGTTGTGGTAAGCCACATCTGACAGAGCAATTTTCGATGCGTTTCAGGTATCTCTGAAAACGACCTTTTCCCAACCATTGATGGTCATTTTTTATAGGGTCAATAATGATTAACTAGTGTTTTCCTGGTTGTTTCCCATTAAAATCCACCAGAAATAGTGAGGAAAACACTCAACCCCCAATTTTCAGTGGAAAAAAAACTAGGAAAATCCCCCGGTTCGTCATTTTTCCCTGTTTTCCCATCATTTTTCACCCAACCCCCACGCCTCCAGAGAGGCCGCGAGCCTGACCGCTTCGCCTTGGGCCCTGCAGGAGGCCTGCGAACAAGTCACTTGGGGATCAGTGAAAATATGTCAAAATGAACATGAAAAATAATTGAAAATAATTGAAAATAGTTGAACATGTATGTATGTATGTATGTATGTATGTATGTATGTATGTATGTATGTATGTACACACATATATATATATATAGTTGAAAATATACAGTAGTTGAAAAATGTTGAAAATACAATTGAGAATAGTTGAACATGAAATTCCCACAAGTAATGAAACCAGCCCTGCCTTGAGTTCTGTTTGAGGGAAAATCTGCAGGAAACTGGTTTTGTTAACCCCAAATATAGGATCAGCGATTTCCATGGGGTTCCTAAAAATGTTTTCCTCTACGCCAATTCCGGGAATGCCCGATTTATCTTTAGGAGATTTTAAGATTATGTTTTTAATGACCCAAACGAATGGTTGCTGGGACAATACAGTTTATTACTGGGTTTACAACATTAGGGAGTACAACATGGTTGTTTAATTGAGCAATGTTCAAAAAACCTGTGATTCCATTATACCGGTCCTCGTTGTTTGTTGGGGATTCCCGGTCTATCGATGATGGTAATCAAATATATTGGATAGTAAAGCCCTAGTGCAGTGATGAACCAACTGGTGTATTGAACACTGCTCAATCAAGGACAACACGTATTAACATGTATGGCTCGCAAAAAAAAAAAGTACTCAAAGTTTGAGGTTTGCTCGGTCTGACTTTTCCTATCCATACCGGTCCATTCCGGTATAAATACGTTACATAACTATGGGTATATATTGGATGAATCATCTGAACACTCCGGCTGAATAGAATGATTCAGCAACCTGAAATAAGAACATGCAGAGGCAGTTTCCAGTAACCTCCATGGTGACGTTGTAATGAGCTTGTTATCGTTCACCCAGATCGGTTGGCCTTTCTGAAAAAAAATAGGAATAACATGGAATAACTTGGTCTGACTGAGCATTTCAATGGATTGATTTAAGGGAAATATATATATATAATTATATATATAGGAAACCATGGTTTTTAACATCAAATATAGGGCGTTCCTGTAAATTAAACCAATTCTGCCAGCCTCTTGCAGTTCGACTGCTTTGTCATCGGACATTCTTGCCTCAAATGTCCACTGACAGCTGGGTAGGCTCAAAAAGCTGGCAAACGGGGGTCATTGTTCCCACGAAACTTCTAACTTCAGGGGATTTCAGGGGCATCCAACAAGTGACATAAATTTTCAGGGTCCAACCATTGTGGGACTGAGGAAGCTTACCTAAGTGGCACTGGCCAGCAATTGAAAAGTTCGCACTTGCTTGGAAAGCCCGTGCCTGTGCCATGGATTTCTCTTGCAGCTGGCTGCATTGATCTTGGCTCGCCTCATCAAATACTGCTGAAAGATGCTACAAACACTGAAACAATGGCACTAGATTGAACGCCGCTGATCGATTTTATTTCCACCCGGTCCGAAAAGGTGCTGGAAATGTAGGTCCAATGATTACTACAAAAGTAAGTGTTAGCTAAGTATTGTGATTCTGCTCACCGCTGTTCATGTGAGCAGTGTTCACAACCCCATGTCATTCCAAAATAAAATTGGTTGGTTGATTCCCAGTTGATTGGATCATGATAATCCACGATCATCCTCAAGATATTTGTATCGAGGTGTCCTAAAATGGAGGTATCCAAAATCATCCAAGATTTCACGATTTTAGTATTGAAACCTATGGTGACTTGGGGATCCCCCATTAGGCCCCCATTTGAACAAAAAAATATTCGATACTTAGTACAACCCCCAATTCAATTCCATGATCATCCCCAAAATATTTATATGGGGATGGGTCAAAACCTGTTATTACCATGTGACCGGGTGAATAAACATCCATTGGGTACCTAAGGCACCAGGGTTTTGATTCATAGACATATCGTATAGCATAGTATACCCCCCCTCCAGTTGGGCAACCCGGATGGCACCTCAAGAAGCGCGTTTAAGCGAGAAATCTCCCCCGTGGACTTGAGATGTTCCTGACAAACGTGTTTGTTGTTTTAAAAAAACATGTATATGTACATGGACATATGATTTATATGTTGAATTTGTTTATCTATTTATTGATTTATTGATTTATTGATTTATTGATTTATTTTTTGGGCCTGTGTGCGATATATATGAAATATGTGAGGTGCGTGGTATATGTCATATATGTGGTATATGTCGTATATGTGATATGATGCATTAGTATGGTAATTATTATGTTATCAAATGATACCAATGATACCGAGGATATAGATGGTGTGCAAATGTATATATATATATATAAATAATCATATATAAATAAATCAATATATGAGTTAGATGAGATTGATGGCCAGAGGAATTTTAGATGTCTAAACTCCGTGATACAGACTCTGCAAATGCGACGAAAGTAAAAGACATCACCACATCATCACATGACCACCACCACCACCACAACAACAACAACAACGCCAACACCACCACCAACAACAACAACAACAGCAGCAGCAGCAACAACAACAACATTGAATACCAAATCACCACATCATCACATCACTACCACCACCCCCAACATCACAACATCACTATACATCACCACATCATCACATCATTACCACCACCCCCAACATCACAACATCACCACATCATCACATCAGTAGCACCACCACCATCACAACATCATTAAATCACCAGCAATTGCTTCGTTCGGGTGATGCTTGAAGATTAGGAATCGCACGAAACCCTTTGTTTTCTCGGATAAAGAGCGTCCGGGCAGCGATGTGGGGATCATTGTCTGTGCGACGGATCCAGCTGCGATCGAGTGTGCTCGGACGCGTCCTACATTGCAAAATTGAAGTCAGGGTGGCTGCTTCATGCTTGTGTTTGCAATCTTGGCTGACGCACTTGTATTGTGATTTGCAAGGCCGTGATTGCACATCGCAGGGGAAATTGCTTCGCCAAGGCGGTGATGCTTGAAGGTTAGGAACCGCACGAAACCCTGTGCCTTCTCGCATAAAGTGTGTCCCGGCGTCGATGTGGTGAACGTTGTCTCCACCCTAAAGTTGACTTTGAAGGTCATTGAGATGATTGCGTGCGCTGTGCCATTATGTTTGGTGATCCAGGCGTGCAGTTTGCATTGGAATGGCCGCTTCCATGCTTGTGATTGCTGTGCTGGTCGACGCAGTTCCATTTTGTGATTTCCAGGACAGTGAGTGGAGATAGCATTCGAATTGCTTTATGAAGGTGGTGCTTAAAGGTTCCGAATCGCACGAAACCCTATGTTTTCTCTCCTTTTTGGCGCTGATCACTTTCCTTTTAAAAATCCTTTTGGAAAGTGCTTCAAAATCGTTGTTTTTTCCGCTTTGGCGCTGAGATCCGGCTTTAGAGCTTCAATTTCTGCTGCGCGTAGTTTTATTATGCTGCTTTGCAACTCAGTCTCTGCAGGTCATAGTGGGGTGGCCGCATCAATGCTTCTTGCCGGCGCGGCGGTGTGCTTAATAATATTGTCTTTTGCAGCTGGGGGTCGTAAATCGTACTGGAGTGCTTTTGCAGCAGTTTTTCCTCAATCTTGGCGCTGATCATTTACATTTAAAGCTGATGTCAAAAATTGCGTCGAAATCGTCTTTTTAGCTTTGGTGCCGAGCTGCAATTTCTGTTGCCGTTGTGGACGTAAAGCTTCTCTGTGTAAAAGCTTGCTGCGCGTAAAAGCTTCTCTGTGTAAAAGCTTGCTGCGTGTCAAAGCTTCTCTGTGTAAAAGCTTCTCTGTGTAAAAGCTTCTCCGTGTAAAAGCTTCTCTGCGTAAAAGCATCTGTGCGTAAAAGCTTCTATGTAGAAGCTCCTCTGTGTAAAAGCTTCTCTTTGTAAAAGCTTCTCTGTGTAAAAGCTTCTCTTTGTAAAAGCTTCTCTGTGTAAAAGCTTCTCTTTGCAAAAGCTTCTGTGTGTACAAGCTTCTCTGTGTCAAAGCATTTGCGTGTACAAGATTGTACAAGCTTCTCTGCGTAAAAAGCTTCTCTGTATAAAAGCTTCTGTCTGTACAAGCTTCTCTGCGTCAAAGCATTGCCTGCAAAAGCTTCTGTGCGTAAAAGCTTCTCTATGTAAAAGCTTCTCTATGTAAAAGCTTCTCTGTGTAAAAGCCTCCGTGTGTGTGTGTGTAAAAGCTTCTCTGTGTAAAAGCTTGCTGTGTGCAAAAGCTCTGTGCCAGCTTTGGAATACAAAATAGTACCGGGAAGTACTTTGTGCAAGTCTTGCAGTACAAAGTAGTACTGGAATCTACTTTGCACAAGCCTTTCTGTAAAAAGTAATAGTGGGAAGTACTTTGTGCAAGTCTTTGTGCTACAAAGTGGTGCTGGGAACTTTGTGCAAGTCTTGTAGTACAAAGTAGCACTGGGAAGTGCTTTGTGCAAGGCGTGTAGTACCAAGTAGTACTGGGAAGTACCGTGTGGAAGTCTTGTAATTAGTACAAAGAAGTACTGGGAAAGCCAAAAGAAAAGCATGAGGATGCAAAACCACCTCAAGACAAAGGAGATGTCAAGACAGAAGGTCTCCATGGAAAGCAATTTAACAGAAAGAGGTCTCAAAGAAAAAAGTTGCGAAAACAAAAGGATGCAAGAAACATGGTGTCAGGAGAAAACCGTATCAAGAGAATGGGGTGTAAAGAGTAGAGAATGTCAAGAGAAGAAGGTCCCAAGAAAAAGAGATGCCAAACAATAGTGCTGCCAAGAGAAAGAGACGTCAACGGAAAGCGGCTGAAAAGACATCGGTTTTCAAGAGGCAGCGATGACATCAGCAAAACATTGTCAGGAGAGAAGAGTGTGTCAAGTCTCGGGCTTCAGAGCTGTCAACAAGAAGAGCTGTCAAGATTCACAGATGTCAAGGGCAAACCGGATCAAGAGAAAGTTGCATCATCAGACAAAGATGTCAAGAGAAAGAAATGTCAAGGAGAAAGGGCTCCAAGATGTTCCAAGAGATGGCGCAGTCAACGGCCATGACAGCCAGGGGGTCAGGCGTCGTTCCTATAAGCTCTCCCCTTTCTTTATTGGCTTCCCCTGTCGAAACTTCCGTCACCCGGCTTGCCCGGGCTCTACTGGTATGGATGATATAGAATGCATATGAATGTACAGTGTATATAATTATGCACACATATACATGCAGTATATCATATGCATGAAGTCGTTCCCAATTCAGACTCCAAAAGTCCCTCTGCAAGAACACCTGGCATCAATGCAGCAAATCTTTGCAAGGGTGCCTCTTCTGCCTGTTTGAGCTTGTTTTCCAATGCACAAGCCTGTCAAACAGGTGATTGAAAGTTTGAAAGCTCTCCAAAGAAAATATGGCACAGCACAAACAAAGTCTACTTCAAGTCTTTGCATTTTTTGCGTGCAACGCCGCCTCTGCTTTGGACCGCTCTTCCAAGTCAGCATGCAGCGCTTTGCTTTCCTGAACATGTGAACATCTGGTCCAAACAACTGCAAATTCAGTGGATGAAATGCATGACGTTTTCATCTGTGACGCTGCTGTCATTTTTCCCTCGACCAGATATACTAACCTACAAGGATCACACAAAACCAATTCCAAAACCGATTGATGATTGAACATGCGAAAACAAGAGCTGCATAATCAGAGGAGGAAAAGTGCACCTGTGAAACTGCTGTGACCTTTGCCACAGCCATGTGTTACCAACAAATGAAGTCTCTAACTAAAAGTGATTAAACCTATAAAATCTGTTCAAGTCTTCTGAGTCTACTGGGAATTGAAGAGGGATCGCAAGCCCAGTTGCCTCCAGGAGCGCGGAGAGACGCGATACTTCTGCCATGGACTTTGAGGATTCCTTGCCAAAGTCTGACATACGACACGGCCCGGAACAAGCAATATGGCATGGCACTGCGAAACAAAGCCCTGGAAGGAACTCACAGTCTGCTGCAATGAAGCCCAACGTGTGCCTCTTGCAACTCTGCTGCTTTTTCGTCGGAGACTTTGGCCTACAATTTGTACTTTGAGATCAATTCAGCGACAATGGACCTCACCCACCAGTCATCTGCTTATCTGCTTGGGGCACGAGCATGCTCAAAAAGCATCAAAAAGCGACAGGGCCTGTGTTTTGGATCTCTCTTCCAAGTCCCTGTGGAGCTCCCTGGTTTCCTGTGAAGAGATGAGTCAAGAAAGAAAACAATCCATGGCTCCATGGTCCAAATCAAAACATGACCAAATACCGCATTGATGCAAACACACACGACCCACCCTGCACCTCGAGCAGAGCGCTTAAGCGAGAGACCTCTGAAGTGGACTTCAGATGATCCTGACACACACACCACTGCTGCAAGAAGACTATAATTGACTATAATCACATGTAAATAAAGATGTATACTGTATACACATATGTGCACATCTGATCATTTCTGTCTATATACATCTATATACGATGTACATCTGTGGTATTCATACATACCTGTGATAGATACAACACTGCAACAGTTCTGCTGCAAGAACAGCTTGCATAGATTCAGTGAATCTTCGCAAGGGTGCCTCTTCTGTCTGCTTAAGCTTGTCTTCCAATGCACTAGCCTGTCAAACAAGTGATTAAAAGTTTGAAAGCTCTCCAAAGAAAATCCGCCGACCCCGGCTGCGCAAAGGGGAGCGTGCTAGGAAATAAGAGTTAGTAATGCGTAAAAAGCAGCCACCAGCAGCAGCATCCCTCCTTCCGTGCCTTGCTGTTTTGGTGCCGGCAGGTGCTTTTGGTACTCTTCTGTCGGCAGCAGCAGCAGCAGCAGCAGCACCAGCGGCAGCAGCGGCAGCAGCGGCAGCAGCAACGGCAGCAGCCGTCTAGTCTGTCTCATCAGTCCTCTCAGTTCTCTCAGTTCTAGTAGGGTTCTAGAAGTCACGTTAGGCAGTTTTTCGGTGTGATTCTGTCGCCTGTTTGTCCTTCTGTGCCTTGCTGTGTTGGTGACGGCAGGTGCTTGTGGTACTCTTCTGTCAGCAGCATCAGCAGCAGCAGCAGCAGGAACTAAAATCATCATTTTCTATGGGTTTCAGAGGTTACGTTAGACACTTTTGGGATGCAATTTTGATGCTTCTCCGCCGTTTGCCCATCCGGGGGCTACCGTTTGAACAGCAGCAGCAGCAGCAGCAGGAACTAAAATCATCATTTTCTATGGGTTTCAGAGGTTGCGTTAGGCACTTTTGGGGTGCAATTTTGATGCTTCTCCGTCCTTCACTGCCATGGCGTTTTCTCATCCGGGCGCTGCCTTTTGAACAGCAGCAGCCGCCACCAGCAGCAGCAGCAGCAGCAGTCACCAGCAGCCACCAGCAGCCACCAGCAGCCACCAGCAGCAGCCACCAGCAGCAGCAGCAGCAGCAGGAGTCTCAGCAGCAGCAGGAGGAAAAGGTAGCTAAAATCATCAAATCATCATTTTCTATAGGTTTCAGAGGTTACGTCAAGCACTTTTGGGGTGCAATGTTGATGCTTCTCCGTCCTTCGCTGCCATGGTGTTTGCCCATCCGGAAGCTGCCTTTTGAACAGCAGCAGCAACAGCAGGAGGAAAAAGTAGCTAAATTCATCATTTTCTATGGGTTACAGAAGTTGGGTTATATAGCCCTAAAGTGCAACGTGTCTCTGGAAGCCGCCTCTGCTTTGGACCGCTCTTCCAAGTCAGTGTGCAGCGCTTTGCTTTCCTGAGCGAAAATAAGAGCTGCAGAATCATAGGAGGAAAAGTGCGCCTATGAAGCTGCTGTGACCTTTACTACAGCCACGTGTTATCAACAACTGAAGAACTTGGGAACTAGTCTATCCAAATCTCCAAGTCTCAACCTGAATGCGATTCAACGTATGAAATCTGCTCAAGTCTTCTGAGTCTACTGGGAATTTTCAAGAAGGTTGGATCGCAAGCCCAGATGCCTCCAGGAGCGCAGAGAGACGCGATACTTCTGCCATGGACTTTGAGGATTCCTTGCCGAAGTCTGACATACGACACAGCCCGGAACAAGCGATACGGCATGGCACTGCGAAACAAAACCCTGGAAGGAACTCCCAGTCTGCTGCAATGAAGCCCAACGTGTGCCTCTTGCAACTCTGCCGCTTTTTCGTCGGAGACTTTGGCCTACAATTTGTACTTTGAGATCAATTCAGCGACAATGCACCTCACCCACCAGTCATCTGCTTATCTGCTTGGGGCACGAGCATGCTCAAAAAGCATCAAAAAGCGACAGGGCCTGTGTTTTGGATCTCTCTTCCAAGTCCCTGTGGAGCTCCCTGGTTTCCTGTGAAGAGATGAGTCAAGAATGAAAACAATCCATGGCTCCATGGTCCAAATCAAAACATGACCAAATACCGCATTGATGCAAACACACACACAACCCACCCTGCACCTCGAGCAGAGCGCTTAAGCGAGAGACCTCTGAAGTGGACTTCAGATGTTCCTGACACACACACACACACCACTGCTGCAAGAAGACTATAATTGACTATAATCACATGTAAATAAAGATGTATACTGTATACTTATACTATACTGTATAATTACACATATGTACAGGTACACATCTGATCATTTCTGTCTATATACACCTATATACGATGTACATCTGTGATATTCATACACATGTGATTAATGCATCACTGCAACAGTTCTGCTGCAAGAACTGCTTGCATAGATGCAGTGAATCTTTGCAAGGGTGCCTCTTCTGTCTGCTTGAGCTTGTCTTCCAATGCACAAGCCTGTCAAACAAGTGATTAAAAGTTTGAAAGTTCTCCAAAGAAAATATGGCACAGCACAAACAACGTCCACTTCAAGTCTTTGCATTTTTTGCGTGTAACTTTTCTCGGAAGCCACCTCTGCTTTGGACCGCTCTTCCAAGTCAGTGTGCAGCGCTTTGCTTTCCTGAGCGAAAATAAGAGCTGCACAATCATGAGGAAAAGTGCGCCTGTGAAGCTGCTGTGACCTTTCTCACAGCCACGTGTTACCAACAACTGAAGAACTTGGGAACTAGTCTATCCAAGTCTCTGAATGAGATTCAACGTATGAAATCTGTTCAAGTCTTCTGAGTCTACTTGAAATTTTCAAGAAGGTTGAATCGCAAGCCCAGATGCCTCCAGGAGCGCAGAGAGACGCGATACTTCTGCCATGGACTTTGAGGATTCCTTGCCGAAGTCTGACATACGACACAGCCCGGAACACACGATACGGCATGGCACTGCGAAACAAAACCCTGGAAGGAACTCCCAGTCTACTGCAATGAAGCCCAACATGTGCCTCTTGCAACTCTGCCGCTTTTTCGTCGGAGACTTTGGCCTACAATTTGTACTTTGAGATCAATTCAGCGACAATGGACCTCACCCACCAGTCATCTGCTTATCTGCTTGGGGCACGAGCATGCTCAAAAAGCATCAAAAAGAGACAGGGCCTGTGTTTTGGATCTCTCTTCCAAGTCCCTGTGGAGCTCCCTGGTTTCCTGTGAAGAGATGAGTCAAGAATGAAAACAATCCATGGCTCCATGGTCCAAATCAAAACATGACCAAATACCGCATTGATGCAAACACACACACAACCCACCCTGCACCTCGAGCAGAGCGCTTAAGCGAGAGACCTCTGAAGTGGACTTCAGATGTTCCTGACACACACCACTGCTACAAGAAGACTATAATCACATGTAAATAAAGAATAATAAAGACGTATACTGTATACACATATGTGCACATCTGATCATTTCTGTCTGTATACATCTATATGCGACAACAGTTCTGCTGCAAGAACTGCTTGTTCCGATGCAGTGAATCTTTGCAAGGGTGCCTCTTCTGTCTGCTTGAGCTTGTCTTCCAATGCACAAGCCTGTCAAACAAGTGATTAAAAGTTTGAAAGCTCTCCAAAGAAAATGGCACAGCACAAACAGTGTCCACTTCAAGTCTTTGCATTTTTTGCGTGTAACTTTTCTCGGAAGCCGCCTCTGCTTTGGACCGCTCTTCCAAGTCAGTGTGCAGCGCTTTGCTTTCCTGCGCGAAAATAAGAGCTGCAGAATCAGAGGAGGAAAAGTGCGCCTGTGAAGCTGCTGTGACCTTTACCACAGCCATGGTTTACCAACAAATGAAGAACTTGGGAACTAGTCTATCCAAGTCTCTGAATGAGATTCAACGTATGAAATCTGTTCAAGTCTTCTGAGTCTACTGGGAATTGAAGAAGCTTGGATCGCAAGCCCAGATGCCTCTAGGAGCGCAGAGAGACGCGATACTTCTGCCATGGACTTTGAGGATTCCTTGCCGAAGTCTGACATACGACACAGCCCGGAACACGCGATACGGCATGGCACTGCGAAGCAAAACCCTGGAAGGAACTCCCAGTCTGCTGCAATGAAGCCCAACGTGTGCCTCTTGCAACTCTGCCGCTTTTTCGTCGGAGACTTTGGCCTACAATTTATACTTTGAGATCAATTCAGCGACAATGGACCTCACCCACCAGTCATCTGCTTATCTGCTTGGGGCACGAGCATGCTCAAAAAGCATCAAAAAGCGACAGGGCCTGTGTTTTGGATCTCTCTTCCAAGTCCCTGTGGAGCTCCCTGGTTTCCTGTGAAGAGATGAGTCAAGAATGAAAACAATCCATGGCTCCATGGTCCAAATCAAAACATGACCAAATACCGCATTGATGCAAACACACACAACCCACCCTGCACCTCGAGCAGAGCGCTTAAGCGAGAGACCTCTGAAGTGGACTTCAGATGTTCCTGACACACACCACTGCTGCAAGAAGACTATAATCACCTGTAAAAAAAGATGTATACTGTACACTGTATACACATACGTGCACATCTGATCATTTCTGTCTATATACATCTATATACGATGTACATCTTTGATATTCATACATACATGCGATAAATACAACACTGTAACAGTTCCGCTGCAAGAACAGCTTGCATAGATTCAGTGAATCTTTGCAAGGGTGCCTCTTCTGTCTGTTTGATCTTGTCTTCAAATGCACTAGCCTGTCAAACAAGTGATTGAAAGTTTGAAAGCACCCCAAAGAAAATATGGCACAGCACAAACAACGTCCACTTCAAGTCTTTGCATTTCTTGCGTGTAACTTTTCTCGGAAGCCGCCTCTGCTTTGGACCGCTCTTCCAGGTCAGTGTGCAGCGCTTTGCTTTCCTGAGCGAAAATAAGAGCTGCACAATCAGGAGGAAAAGTGCGCCTGTGAAGCTGCTGTGACCTTTACCACGGCCATGGTTTACCAACAACTGAAGAACTTGGGAACTAGTCTATCCAAGTCTCTGACTGAATGAGATTCAACGTATGAAATCTGCTCAAGTCTTCTGAGTCTACTGGGAATTTTCAAGAAGGTTGGATCGCAAGCCCAGATGCCTCCAGGAGCGCAGAGAGACGCGATACTTCTGCCATGGACTTTGAGGATTCCTTGCCGAAGTCTGACATATGACACAGCCCGGAACAAGCGATACGGCATGGCACTGCGAAACAAAACCCTGGAAGGAACTCCCAGTCTGCTGCAATGAAGCCCAACATGTGCCTCTTGCAACTCTGCCGCTTTTTCGTCGGAGACTTTGGCCTACAATTTATACTTTGAGATCAATTCAGCGACAATGGACCTCACCCACCAGTCATCTGCTTATCTGCTTGGGGCACGAGCATGCTCAAAAAGCATCAAAAAGCGACAGGGCCTGTGTTTTGGATCTCTCTTCCAAGTCCCTGTGGAGCTCCCTGGTTTCCTGTGAAGAGATGAGTCAAGAATGAAAACAATCCATGGCTCCATGGTCCAAATCAAAACATGACCAAATACCGCATTGATGCAAACACACACACAACCCACCCTGCACCTCGAGCAGAGCGCTTAAGCGAGAGACCTCTGAAGTGGACTTCAGATGTTCCTGACACACACCACTGCTACAAGAAGACTATAATCACATGTAAATAAAGAATAATAAAGACGTATACTGTATACACATATGTGCACATCTGATCATTTCTGTCTGTATACATCTATATGCGACAACAGTTCTGCTGCAAGAACTGCTTGTTCCGATGCAGTGAATCTTTGCAAGGGTGCCTCTTCTGCCTGCTTGAGCTTGTCTTCCAATGCACAAGCCTGTCAAAGAAGAGATTGAAAGTTTGAAAGCTCCCCAAAGAAAATATGGCACAGCACAAACAAAGTCCGCTTCAAGTTTTTGCATTTTTTGCGTGTAACTTCTCCTGAAGCCACCTCTGCTTTGGACCGCTCTTCCAAGTCAGTGTGCCGCGCTTTGCTTTCCTGAGCGAAAATAAGAGCTGCAGAATCATAGGAGGAAAAGTGTGCCTGTGAAGCTGCTGTGACCTTTCTCACAGCCACGTGTTACCAACAAATGAAGAACTTGGGAACTAGTCTATCCAAGTCTCTGAATGAGATTCAACGTATGAAATCTGTTCAAGTCTTCTGAGTCTACTGGGAATTGAAGAAGCTTGGATCGCAAGCCCAGATGCCTCTAGGAGCGCAGAGAGACGCGATACTTCTGCCATGGACTTTGAGGATTCCTTGCCGAAGTCTGACATACGACACAGCCCGGAACACGCGATACGGCATGGCACTGCGAAGCAAAACCCTGGAAGGAACTCCCAGTCTGCTGCAATGAAGCCCAACGTGTGCCTCTTGCAACTCTGCCGCTTTTTCGTCGGAGACTTTGGCCTACAATTTATACTTTGAGATCAATTCAGCGACAATGGACCTCACCCACCAGTCATCTGCTTATCTGCTTGGGGCACGAGCATGCTCAAAAAGCATCAAAAAGCGACAGGGCCTGTGTTTTGGATCTCTCTTCCAAGTCCCTGTGGAGCTCCATGGTTTCCTGTGAAGAGATGAGTCAAGAAAGAAAACAATCCGTGGCTCCATGGTCCAAATCAAAACATGACCAAATACCGCATTGATGCAAACACACACAACCCACCCTGCACCTCGAGCAGAGCGCTTAAGCGAGAGACCTCTGAAGTGGACTTCAGATGTTCCTGACACACACCACTGCTGCAAGAATACTATAATTGACTATAATCACATGTAAATAAAGAATAATAAAGACGTATACTGTATACACATATGTACACATCTGGTCATTTCTGTCTATATACATCTATATACGATGTACATCTATACATGTGATAAATACAACACTGCAACAGTTCTGCCGCAAGAACTGCTTGTTCCGATGCAGTGAATCTTTGTAGGGGTGCCTCTTCTGCCTGTTTGAGCTTGTATTCCAATGCACAAGCCTGTCAAAGAAGAGATCAAAAGTTTGAAAGCTCTCCAAAGAAAATATGGCACAGCACAAACAAAGTCCACTTCAAGTCTTTGCATGTTTGATCATTTTTGCGTGTAACTTATCTCCTGAAGCCGCCTCTGCTTTGGACCGCTCTTCCAGGTCAGTGTGCAGCGCTTTGCTTTCCTGAGCGAAAATAAGAGCTGCAGAATCATAGGAGGAAAAGTGTGCCTGTGAAGCCACTGTGACCTTTATCACAGGCACGTGTTCAACAAATGAAGAACTTGGGAACTAGTCTATCCAAGTCTCTGAATGAGATTCAACGTATGAAATCTGTTCAAGTCTTCTGAGTCTACTGGGAATTTATAAAGAAGGTTGAATCGCAAGCCCAGATGCCTCCAGGAGCGCAGAGAGACGCGATACTTCTGCCATGGACTTTGAGGATTCCTTGCCGAAGTCTGACATACGACACAGCCCGGAACAAGCGATACGGCATGGCACTGCGAAACAAAACCCTGGAAGGAACTCCCAGTCTGCTGCAATGAAGCCCAACATGTGCCTCTTGCAACTCTGCCGCTTTTTCGTCGGAGACTTTGGCCTACAATTTATACTTTGAGATCAATTCAGCGACAATGGACCTCACCCACCAGTCATCTGCTTATCTGCTTGGGGCACGAGCATGCTCAAAAAGCATCAAAAAGCGACAGGGCCTGTGTTTTGGATCTCTCTTCCAAGTCCCTGTGGAGCTCCCTGGTTTCCTGTGAAGAGATGAGTCAAGAATGAAAATAATCCATGGCTCCATGGTCCAAATCAAAACATGACCAAATACTGCATTGATGCAAACACACACGACCCACCCTGCACCTCGAGCAGCGCGCTTAAGCGAGAGACCTCTGAAGTGGACTTCAGATGTTCCTGACACGCACCACTGCTGCAAGAAGACTATAATCACCTGTAAAAAAAGATGTATACTGTACACTGTATACACATACGAGCACATCTGATCATTTCTGTCTATATACATCTATATACGATGTACATCTGTGGCATTCAGACATGTGACAAATACAACACTGCAACAGTTCCGCTGCAAGAACAGCTTGCATAGATTCAGTGAATCTTTGCAAGGGTGCCTCTTCTGCCTGCTTGAGCTTGTCTTCCAATGCACAAGCCTGTCAAAGAAAAGATTGAAAGTTTGAAAGCTCCCCAAAGAAAATATGGCACAGCACAAACAAAGTCCACTTCAAGTTTTTGCATTTTTTGCGTGTAACTTATCTCCTGAAGCCGCCTCTGCTTTGGACCGCTCTTCCAAGTCAGTGTGCCGCGCTTTGCTTTCCTGAGCGAAAATAAGAGCTGCAGAATCAGAGGAGGAACAGTGCGCCTGTGAAGCTGCTGTGACCTTTATCACAGCCACGTGTTACCAACAAATGAAGAACTTGGGAACTAGTCTATCCAAGTCTCTGAATGAGATTCAACGTTGAAATCTGTTCAAGTCTTCTGAGTCTACTTGAAATTTTCAAGAAGGTTGGATCGCAAGCCCAGATGCCTCCAGGAGCGCAGAGAGACGCGATACTTCTGCCATGGACTTTGAGGATTCCTTGCCGAAGTCTGACATACGACACAGCCCGGAACAAGCGATACGGCATGGCACTGCGAAACAAAACCCTGGAAGGAACTCCCAGTCTGCTGCAATGAAGCCCAACATGTGCCTCTTGCAACTCTGCCGCTTTTTCGTCGGAGACTTTGGCCTACAATTTATACTTTGAGATCAATTCAGCGACAATGGACCTCACCCACCAGTCATCTGCTTATCTGCTTGGGGCACGAGCATGCTCAAAAAGCATCAAAAAGCGACAGGGCCTGTGTTTTGGATCTCTCTTCCAAGTCCCTGTGGAGCTCCCTGGTTTCCTGTGAAGAGATGAGTCAAGAATGAAAACAATCCGTGGCTCCATGGTCCAAATCAAAACATGACCAAATACTGCATTGATGCAAACACACACGACCCACCCTGCACCTCGAGCAGAGCGCTTAAGCGAGAGACCTCTGAAGTGGACTTCAGATGTTCCTGACACACACCACTGCTGCAAGAAGACTATAATCACCTGTAAAAAAAGATGTATACTGTATACTGTATACACATACGTGCACATCTGATCATTTCTGTCTATATACATCTATATACGATGTACATCTGTGGCATTCAGACATGCGACAAATACAACACTGCAACAGTTCCGCTGCAAGAACAGCTTGCATAGATTCAGTGAATCTTTGCAAGGGTGCCTCTTCTGCCTGCTTGAGCTTGTCTTCCAATGCACAAGCCTGTCAAAGAAGAGATTGAAAGTTTGAAAGCTCCCCAAAGAAAATATGGCACAGCACAAACAAAGTCCGCTTCAAGTTTTTGCATTTTTTGCGTGTAACTTCTCCTGAAGCCACCTCTGCTTTGGACCGCTCTTCCAAGTCAGTGTGCCGCGCTTTGCTTTCCTGAGCGAAAATAAGAGCTGCAGAATCATAGGAGGAAAAGTGTGCCTGTGAAGCTGCTGTGACCTTTCTCACAGCCACGTGTTACCAACAAATGAAGAACTTGGGAACTAGTCTATCCAAGTCTCTGAATGAGATTCAACGTATGAAATCTGTTCAAGTCTTCTCAGTCTACCGGGAATTTTCAAGAAGGTTGGATCGCAAGCCCAGATGCCTCCAGGAGCGCAGAGAGACGCGATACTTCTGCCATGGACTTTGAGGATTCCTTGCCGAAGTCTGACATACGACACAGCCCGGAACAAGCGATACGGCATGGCACTGCGAAACAAAACCCTGGAAGGAACTCCCAGTCTGCTGCAATGAAGCCCAACGTGTGCCTCTTGCAACTCTGCCGCTTTTTCGTCGGAGACTTTGGCCTACAATTTATACTTTGAGATCAATTCAGCGACAATGGACCTCACCCACCAGTCATCTGCTTATCTGCTTGGGGCACGAGCATGCTCAAAAAGCGACAGGACCTGTGTTTTGGATCTCTCTTCCAAGTCCCTGTGGAGCTCCCTGGTTTCCTGTGAAGAGATGAGTCAAGAAAGAAAACAATCCGTGGCTCCATGGTCCAAATCAAAACATGACCAAATACTGCATTGATGCAAACACACACAACCCACCCTGCACCTCGAGCAGCGCGCTTAAGCGAGAGACCTCTGAAGTGGACTTCAGATGTTCCTGACACACACCACTGCTGCAAGAAGACTATAATTGACTATAATCACCTGTAAATAAAGAATAATAAAGACGTATACTGTATACGCATATGTGCACATCTGATCATTTCTGTCTATATACATCTATATACGATGTACATCTTTGATATTCATACATACATGTGATAAATACAACACTGCAACAGTTCTGCCGCAAGAACTGCTTGTTCCGATGCAGTGAATCTTTGCAAGGGTGCCTCTTCTGCCTGCTTGAGTTTGTCTTCCAATGCACAAGCCTGTCAAAGAAGAGATTGAAAGTTTGAAAGCTCCCCAAAGAAAATATGGAACAACACAAACAAAGTCCGCTTCAAGTCTTTGCATTTTTGCGTTTAACTTATCTCCTGAAGCCGCCTCTGCTTTGGACCGCTCTTCCAAGTCAGCATGCAGCTCTTTGCTTTCCTGAACATGTGAACCCAAGAGCTGCGAAATCACACAGGAGGGGAAATCCCCAGCTTCGGGAGGGGGCCAACCGTTTGTTTCCTCGGCAAGTACTTAAATTAAATCAGATTCAAACAGATTTCTACAAATTGATTGTGATGCAATTTTGAGTTGTAAAAATGGTGCTCCATCAGATTGTCGATAGAAAATGGTGCTCATCAGATCAAATCACATCATCAATCTCGGTGCACTTTTGGATGTGGCACCTCCACCTCACGAAGTCGCTCTTCAGCAGCTTTGGCCTCTAACCCACCCGACGGCGAAAGCCAGAAGGTAATCAGTTCCAAGTGGGTCGATATTTCACTCGAGCCCATTAAAACATGTTGATTAGCGAATAATCAATAACATTCAATAACTACCCCATGGAAACAACCGGGTGAATTATGGCAAAACTCAGTATTCTTTTTGTTATCATCACTGTACTGCGTGTTGTTTGTCCAAATTTGGCTGGTAGAAGGGGCCCTTGCTGGGGGTTGCATAGCCTGAAGGGCGAACGGCCAAACCTGGAAGATTGGACATCGGCATGTTGCAGCCACTACCGGTACCAGCCATCCCAATGCTGTCTTATAATCAAAGAAACATGAAGCACTACAACATCATGATGATGATGATGATGATGATGCTGATGATGATGATGCTGATGATGATGATGATGATGATGATGATGATGCTGATGATGATGACGGTGAGGATGATGATGATGATGATGATGACGGTGAGGATGATGATGATGATGATGATGGTGATGATGGTGATGATGATGATGATGCTGATGATGATGATGATGGTGATGATGATGATGGTGATGATGATGATGATGATGATGATGATGATGATGATGACGATGACGATGATGATGATGCGTGTTCTCATTATTGATGATTATTATTATTGATGATTATTATTCTAAATATTGACAATAGTAATGATCTAAACATGGTGACCCCACTTTGGCCATCGCCATCTTGCGCCAGATCCAGGCCTGGGCAGCAGACTTCTCTTCCAGGGACCTTTGAAGCGATTCACTTTCCTCGCCGGCCATGGTTGGCCACTTCGATTGGGCTTTTCCAAGGCTCTCCATTGGTTAAAAGGGGGCCCATCAAAATGAGGGGTGCATCATTCCAACATAGATATACAATGATATACATATCGGATTCCAGCATGGGTTATGAGGCAATGGCGAGTCCTAGGACTAGGATGATCCAAGTATTAAATGGCATCCCAAAGATCCCAGCTCGCACCTGCAACTGGCTGCGGAGCTCAATCAAATCTCTGGTTTGGTCCTCGGAGTGGTTACCATCTCTCAGTTTTAAAACCTGTTGCAGGTTCACTTATATTTGGTGTATCATCATTTTCCCTATAATAATATATCAACAAAAAAGGATATACCATCTGGTTATTTAACATAGCCATGGAAAATGGCCCATTTATAGGTGGTTGTCCCATTAATACCTCCATTTATAAGGGATTTTCCATGGCAAACTGTTAAATAACCAGATGGTATACTCCTTGGGTTATCATCAACCCGCCATTTCTCTGGGGTCGGGGCTTGGATTTGCAGCTGGCTTTCTTCCAGTTGACCCCGTGTCTGCGAGTGGAGCTGCTTCTCGCCGTCCAGTTCTTGTTGAAGCTGCACCTGCCCCAGGAAAACTGGCTGAGTTGAGGCTGGGATTCTCATGATCATATACATGTACATAATACATATATATATATATATTTATTTATTAAAGTATATAGACCAATGATATGTGTAATATATAGTGCAATAGATGTAATGTGATATACATTATAATACAATATATACATATAGTACATATAACATTATATATACATATACATAGTGCCCACCTGGAGCTGCTCCAACTGATTCACCCGGTCACGATATTGGGCACTGCAGGCAGCATCCTGTCGAGACAAGGAGCGGCGATGGGATGAATGGCTTGTGCTTATCATGTGGATATACCATGGGAATATGTAGGATATATATCTAGATAACATATCTATCTAGATATAAAGTAGGAATATACTATCATATATCTATACATACTGTATGTAATATTACATATCATTATAATATTTATATATATAGAGAGAGAGAGAACCTAGGATATAGTAGGAATATAACGGGAGATGCAAAACAACCAGATGATATATTGTTTACGGTCATCCATCCGATATTGAGAATCCTTACAACGGGCACATAGATCGTGAAAAAATCCGTATGAATGGATAGATGACCATG